CTGCTACCTACCTTCGGACTGTCTCTTCCAGACACGTCTGCCTGCTGCTCTGAAGTAGCCTTTGCCGCATATTCTGCTGCCAGCTGTAGGTCCGAGGTAATATTCTGAGTAAAGCGGTAACCTGAGGAACCAGCCCCACGAGGACTGGCTGGGCAGGAATTGGGGACGCTGCAGGAGAAGGAGAGAGAAGAGACAGACAGGGTCAGTTCCGCATCAACGCAAGACACGAATAATGGAATACATTCCCATTTTCATACATTAGCTCTTCCTGTTAAAACACCTAACATGTCTCAGGCAGGTGGATTAAAACATAAAGTACGTTTTGGACTTCAACCCTGATGACGGGGGCTTCTAAGAGCTGACGTTCAACGTGGGCTGAATCCTGTTGCGCAACTCATGCTGCATAAGGCTTACGATGTCATCAGCCAGGGTGATGGTTTTTGAAATGAAAGTCTCCTCCGCTGTGATTTTTACCCAATCAAACAAAGACATCCCAAGGAAGCCTTGAGAACTTTTGATATCGGAAATGTTTAATTTTCAAAAATTGCTGTAGCTGATGATGTCATCCGCCTTACACGGCATAAGTGAAAGCAACAGGGTTTCAGCCCTTACTTGGAAAGAGAAAAGTTCAAGGTTGCTGCTGTAGAAGAGGCGCCAAAATCCTCTCCAGTCAGCTGTTAGCAAAGCCAGATAAATGGAAAAAGTGTGTTTACAAAGTCTGAAAACCACCCGGCTAGAGAGACACCCATCTCCTGTAGTTCTATAGCCCATCCCAGGAGAATTAATTAGGGTGACTGACGCAATGTCCAGTCACTTCCCTCTGTGTGCGGCTGGCTGTGTTTCGGCAGTGTCACGTGAAGCAGATGATGGGGAAAGAAAAAGAAAAAGATGATCAGGGAAGTGCCACAAGATGGCACTCGTGGCACAAGCTAGTTAAAGGAGGGGCGAGAGAAATGCCGCACAAGGCCGAGCAATGAAACAGAAAATAATGAATGATTGCTCGAACCACCACCTCTCCCAGGGCAAACTGGAGTAAGCGAGGGTGCAGGAGGATTAAATAAGGGAATCAAGGCTGGCATACGGACAGGCTCAAGAAGAGGAATCCTCTCTGGGCAGGCTGGTGGTGGGTCACCTGCCGAGGGGCTGGCCCAGCCTTCTACCTGCGGGACACCTGTTCAAGAGCATCACGGCTGAAGCCACCGGGAAAAACAATCGGAGCAATTCTTAACTGGGACTCCGCATGCGGCATGGCCAAAGTCCCCATAACAGGGGTCAGCAACAGGTGCACTGTGATCCACGCTAGTCCCTTAGGGGGCTTTCGGCTTTCCGAGCCCCCTCCTGAACCCCTCCCACCAGCGCCACGGTCTTCCCTTCTGGCCAAAAAGGTTGACCCCCCCACCTAGCGACTTCCAGGAGCAGCGATCGCCGGGCCTTAAAACAGTATACACCCTGGTGGACCTTGCCTTCTGCCCACCCCACCCTCCACAACCCCCCCCCAGGAAGAGTTTAAAACCAGAAGTGTCCTTCTCTCTCATTTCAGGTTCATTTCCTGTGGCGCGTGGGGTCTCCCGGGAGGTCCTGGGGTTGCCACGCTTCCAGGGACCCCCAATTGCTGCTGCCTCAAATCCACGTATTGCCACGGAATCACCAACACTGACCCACGGACCAGGTGTGCCATGCCAGGGATGAGCAAAAGGGGGAAGTGCATGATGTGAAGGTTCTGGCCAGCTGATGTGAGGTGAGAACGAGTTCCTGGTTAACCAGTGCTTCGTACAACACACACGCACAGACCTTTGCACGCACCACCCCCAAAATAAACGCCAGCCCACCTCTAGGGTTACTTCCTTATTTTCGATTTGATGCCACTTTTCGGCCAGATGCGACACATCTCTCTCCTAACTGCTGAAATGGAGTCGCAGTAATACGGGAGGGACTCGAGGCAGCTCACGAATGGTTAAAAAAAAGAGAACCAAACAACACTTGGAATAGTATTAAAATAGTACATCTATCCATCGATTTGGAGGTTAAACCCCATTATTCAGGCTCTGAAGCCAGCTCTGAGCGGGAGAAACAGGGTGGAATTGAATGCACAATTTTCCTGGAAATCTGTATTGTCCAAAAAAAGAGAGAGAGAAGCAGCAGCAGGAATTCCTTCAGGAGATTTGACCACACACTTAGGCAGCGGAGATTAGATTATCTCTGTGGGTGTCTGTTTATCCTAGACCAAGAATTGTATGTGTATACAGATAATGTTTTCCCTGAAACGCAAACAGACACACTCACACCGTCATTTTTTCCGACACCACAAATCGGCGAAGTCATGCGGGCCTTCGATAATACCGAAAAACGAGGAGAGATTTTCTCATAATCCTGCTGTGATTTTCTCAATAAATCCTACAGGTAACAAGCCTGCCGTACGAGCGGAACATCAGAAAATGGAAGAGGGGGAAGGAAGGGGGAATGGAGCAAGCCAGAAAGACATCAACTTTGATAAATAATCCTAATATTAAAAGCCAACTTTGGGCAAATTGCAACAAGGCAAGATTCTCTGGAAAAAGCAATCACACTGAGATACGCAGAAAGCAATTTTTTAAAAAAGAGGAAGGCCAAATACAAGATGGATCAACTTCATAAAGGAAGCCACAGACTTGGGTTTAGAAGAGCTGAGCAGGGCTGTTGATGAAGAGGACCTTCTGGAGATCATTCACCCCAAAGGTTGCCGTAAGTCAGAGGCAATTCGACAGCACATGCCGACAACACCAAAACTGAACTGGTTCTCCGTAAATTTGCAGAATCCTAACCAACTCATGAAAGGCACAAGAGAAGGGCTCTAACATAGAGAAAGGCAACCCCAAATCAGCTCGCGGAGAGATGAACACTCTTCAGCATGAAGACTACTAGATGGTGTCAGAGAACCCAAGAAAACTGGGGGTTGGAAATGGAATGGAATAATTTGGAAGAGAGAGGAAACTACTCTCAAGGCATGGGAAAATCCCGGGTTGGACGAGTTTCCAGAATCAACCTAACCAACACGGCCAGTCTTTACTGACAGTTCAGATCTTCTTGGAAGATAAAACGAGGCTTGCTCAAACACCAAATAATTGAATTCCCTAAGTAGAAATCAAATTATGACCGAGGAGGGAGACACACACACACACACACACACACAAACGATAAGACCCTTATTCTTTAATAGGTTGCAAACAAATGTGCTCTTTCGTTTTTCAAGCTTTCCTTGAGCAGCTGAAATAACAGCTCATTCACAGGCGCCATTTGTTCCCGAAAAGGTTTCTTCTTTCGCATGGATTGTTCCAGTAACTTTTTTTACAGCCTTCCACATGATAAAATGTTTGTCCCGGTAACAACAGTGACCGAGTCCACGCCTTCCAGTATCTTTTTGTGCCTGCTGCCTTTATGGTTTATTTTGTTCTGAGGGTTTGTTCCTGGGGGGGGGGCAGAGTTTAGACTATGGGCTTTCCTATGCCTCTTACAGCGTTCGCTGCCTCGCAGAAGCCTCCTGATTAGACGCTTTTAATTAGGACACTATTCTATACTCATGCAGATGCACATGTACATCCACCCACACCCTCTCCGACACACACACAGCGAATTAGAGAAGGTGCTCAAATCTCAGATTTCTGCTCACAAGTGCTAAAAATGTAAGTTTTCACCTTCCGCCTCTCACCGTTATCATTGCCACTTTCAAGATGAAAGACTGAGGGGCTGAAGGACATTACCGGGGCATTACCGCACAGAAGGAAGCATGCTTCAGCACATGACGACACACGGAATCATGGCCAACCCAAAACCACCAGAAAGTTTGAGTCAGAGACCCAAACTCTGGGTCCGTGACACACACCGGCCACAGAATGGTTGGGTCTCTTAGCAGCTTTGTGGAGCATTTTTTTTTTAAAGCAAGAGACTCCAAGCAGCTCTACTCCCGTTCTGTTTCCATCAAAACATACTGTTTCTAATTAGGGCTGCATCAAATTTGGGCATGCATTATGAAAAACAGCAAACGTACAGTCAAAATTACAAACAGATACATAAACCCTTTGGAAAAGAAAATTCAGCACCCCTCTGGAGACAAAGCATATACATTAAAAAAAACCCTTCAAGAGAACAAAATTCATATCTGCTTCGTTGCCTAGGCTCAGAATTGAAACTGAATGGATTTAAATTCATTTTCTACTCTTCACTCTCTATGTCTGTGTGCAGTGAGCCTCTGCAGAGTTTCGTTTTCCTGCTTCTCATGTGCCAGCGAAGCGGACATCCTCCGTGGTCTGCACAGGGCACATCCAGATGTTTTATACAGCTGCTGCTACAACACGGGGACAATCCCTCTGTGAATTACTCTCGGCCAGACAGTCTTGGCTTCAGAGTGGGTAACACAGACTTCCAGCTTACCACAAATCGCTCCATTCATTTAATGACAAATGATGTGTTTACGTTGGATCAAAAAATCGTAATGAACAGCTACTATGGGGCATCTGTATCCCTAAACAGGTTCGCATTACTTACTGTTATTGTCCTGTGCGGTCAAGTCACCTCTGATATTATAGTGACCCTATAAACGAGCCATCTCCAACTTGTTATGCCCGGCTTAGCTTCCGCAGACACAGTATGTGGCTTCCTTCGGGGACTGAGAGCAAGACAGAGTTCCATTGGAACAGTTTTTTTTTTAAATCAATCTAATTTAGAATAACTACAAACAGCTCTTCCATGGTTTATGTATTTTGTTTCAGTACGTTTGTTTTACTGATATACGAGCCGCCAGGAGTCCCTTAAGCAGCATAATCAACCCAAATCCAATTCTGTAATTTAGGCCAGCATAGGGGAAATACATGTCCTTATGCAGAGGCAAATTGCCAGTAACTAAAGACTCCCCTCTTTGACTCCTGCTTGTGCACAACTTGTGCACAATAAGACGAAGTTGAAGCAGCAAGGAACCGAAAGAGGGATTCTTTTTCAGGGGCAATCGAACGCTGTTAGCCAGTGATATAATATCCTCTATGGCGGCGGCTCCCAACCGTGCTGGGTCTTCACAGATGTTCTTGGACCGCAACTCCCAGAAGCCTTCACCACTAGCTGTGCTGGCAAGGGCTTCTGGGAGATGTAGCCCAAGAACATCTGGGGACCCAAGGTTGGGAACCCCGGCACTATGCCTT